TCTACTGCTTGCAATGAAACTCCAAGTAATGTCCAGAATAGTTTTACTTCAGAAACCACCTTGAATTATTTAGATGACCAGGCTACATTTCTAGGCTCAGAAGGGCTGGTTAAGTAAAAACATTCTACTTGTCTTTACCAGAACGATCTAAAGGTAAAGAAAAGTTCTAAAGGAAAAGATAAACGGTGAACAATAATACAAGTGAATAAGTAAAAGAGAAGCATCAATAGAGAACTTACAAATAAAATCTGTTCATTTTAGTATGTTTCCTTCTGGGCTTCGCACTTTAAGAAGAACGTGAGTGTCCTTGGTCCTGAGTCTATACAAAAGCAGGAACAGATGCCATTCTCAAGGGAAAGCAAAATCTAGGCATTCCTGACTCCTACTGATTTCTCAAGTGTCACCAGGCTTGGCAGCAAGAAGTGACCCCATGAGAACTGCTGAGGGGTCACCTCTGACCAACATAAGTTTCAGAAAGAGAAGCAGAGAAAGGGAGGGAGTGATCAAAGAAACAACAGAAGAAAACGTGTCAGAGCCGGTGCTCGCTCTGGCAGCACACGTACTAAAACCAGAACCACACAGAGACGGTCGACAAGGCCCTGCACAAGGATGATACACACATTTGTGAAGCATTCCATATTTTTTTATATGTTTATGTATAACTGAATCACTCTGCTGTGCACCAGAAACTCACGTAACAGTATAAATCAACTATACTTCAATAAAAAAAAATGAAATTGTCTCAGAGCGAAAGAAGATCTATGTCATTAGAGTGAAAAGAGCCACAGAGTAGACAGCCTGATTAATGGGAAAAGATCCAGACCTGGTCATACCATCTTGAATTTCAAACATCTAAGGACGAACTGAGTATTCTAAAAGCTTCCAGAAGCTCGCCTCAAAGTCACCTACAAGGACATGAGAAACTGACTCATGACTTCCTGTCACTGACGCTAGACAGCAGAAGGCAATGGACCAACATGCTTCAAAGGGAAAACAATTCTTACT